ATAGAACCCTCATCCTTCTCCATTCTAGAACCTTATTATTCTCCATCCTAGAACCCTCATCATTCCCATCCTAGAACCCTCATCCTTCTCCATTCTAGAACCCTCATCCTTCTCCATCCTAGAACCGTCATCTTTCTTTATCCTAGAATCATCATTCCTCATCCTTAATCATCCCAAGACGGCCAGGTTGCGAAACTGTTTCTCCAAAATTCACAAAAATTCCTGAATTCAGCATTCTCAGGAGAGCAGAGACCTTAAACAGAAGGAACTGATCAGTTACGAAACATATATAACTTGTACTTTGATGTGAAAGAAAATAGAATTAAAAAGTACAGAAAAAGGAGGATAAAAATATAAGAAAATGTTAGAAAAAAAATTATTTCAATTTAATTTTCAAAGCTCCGGAACAATATTGTGTGCAATAAACCTGTGTTTAAAAAGATCAATCTAAAGAAGTTTACCGTGTCGAAAATTCAAAAAATATTTTAATGGAGTCCAATGTTGTATAGATGAAAATGTTGCAAAATGTTTCTAATGGGTTGTTTTAGCAAGATAAAATTCCAATACTCTCTCTCTCTTTTGGCATTTAGAGTTTGTACTTTTCTAAATATTTTGGTCTGTTAAAGATTACAAGTCTAAGAATGCCATACTTCCAGGTTTAAACGTAAATAAGAAAAACAAGAGACTGAGCGTTTTCTCAAATAAAAAGATCGCAATGCCCGATTTACAACGGCAATCTTTACACTTTTGACTGATCATCGAGGCCAAAGAAATCTGTGTGTTTATCTCTCAAAAAGTGGTTGAATTACCGATAAGCGTACAGTGTGAACTCAACTCTTTACATTAAAAATACCAAATATTCAATGTCCAACGAGGTTTTTAAAAATAAGAATGGAGACATTTATTCTCTGCGACTAAAATCTTAATATTTCTTAAATATAAAACAGGTTGCAAATCAATTACTCAACAATTACAAGCTTCCCTGTAAATTGATAATGATAAGTCTGACATCCTTGATAAGTCATTGGTTTAAATGGTACTTTTTTTCATAAATCTATCTTTATTGGCTGTAAGAACTGTCAACTCGCCTCAAAAAAATTTCTCTAATCTTCTAATTTTGCTATTTGAGCGTAAACCATTGATATCAAAATCGTTAACCATTTGGTCATACAGATTCCATAGTTTAAAATCGTAAAGTCTACGAGATTCGGTTGCAAATATATTAAGATTAGAAAATTAGAGTTTCAGGCGAGTAATCAGATCGTTTACAATTTTTTCGGGTGTTTAAATTTTCTTACTTCATGATGAAGATCTTAAAGTTTTGCAAGTTGTTGTGGTATTGCATATTTTGACCTTGCATGATACAAATCTAAATTACAACTTTTAGATTTTTAACAAAAGTGCTACTTTGGATTTAATCGTATCTTTAAACCAAAACTAAATTTTTCGCATTAAGTTGGAGCAAACAAAAAAATTCGAAAATTTTCTGGGTTTTCGTCCCTGCTATAGAATAAGAAGGTACTCTTAAGCTTTTTAAATTTGGTGTTTACGTGAGATCTAAACCATTGGTCTTGGTTTAAATTGAATATTTAATCTGGTTTACATAGCTAAGACAATAAGTATCACAATAAAGAAAAAAGAGTTAAAAAGTTTGATGAAAATGGATAAAAGTATGGATATGAATGAACTGTATTGTGTTGTATTAGCTGTATAATGGGGAAAGTAAACAGATAAATCTGGTTTTATTTACATTTTCTAAACATTCTAGTTTATCTAGATTACACAGCTGTCTGCTAGAGGGGATTCTTTATATATACTTTATATTAAGCTGCAAAATATGTTTTAATGTATATTTATGTCATTAATTTGTAAATCCTCTAAAGTTTGTATCTTTAGTGTAGGGAGTATACTTCTATATATATAAAGTAGTAATCTCTTTTTGAATTTTTGATCATAACTCAGGAACTCCTCGACCGATTTGCCTTAAATTTAATTGGGGAGATGAGTAGAACCACAGGAATGTTCTTACCCTGGTTTAGTATAGTTTGAGGCAAATCAGTCCAAGGGTTTAAAATCTATGATTGGACATACAGAAAACCAGGGAATAATAATTCATGTACATATGTTGATATATATCCTATTAAATATATCTGCAATGTGAATTATTTTATGTCTGTAGTTTGTGTCTTTTCTACAATACGACTTTGCTTAGGTCTTTTTTATTCATGCAATGTAAATTCTCCTTCTTTTAAAGCGTCTGAACAAGTTTCATTATTATAGACTTGTAGACTCCACACGGCTACCATCCCGTGATACTATCAACGCCACTACCACTGAGCGCGATCTCGTAAACTACCACTGTCTCAACTAGGACACAATCCTCAACCTGTTTATAAGAAACAGGGAACGATTACTCTCTTGGAGTAAACTGTACGAACTCTCAATTCTATATCAACTAAAGGTTATAATGCAAGGAAAGTTATTTCAGAGGTGTGTGCATCTTTTGTACTGCAGTGTACTGTCTCTGGGCGGTAATGTAAACACAAGACGGATGTCGAAGCCTGACATGAGATCTATCGTTCACATAAAAAATCAGTGAAATATTCTGGTCATTAGAATCTATTATGTGAATTATCAAAATTATCAAAATTTAATGCTTTAACCTCCTCGGATACTAAACGAACACTGATAGTGATGCATCTATTCTTGTTTATAAATTCCGCCCAGGGAGAACTGGTTTCAATATGTACGCGGATTATACGCAACTGCAATTAACTTTCCTTTTATTATAACCTTGTATCATTTAATGTATTTTAGGTTTATATGTTAAAAGTTAAAATAAATAGGCGTAATTACAATTCCTACGTCGTTATCTATATCACATGATTAAGGCAATCATGTTACGTACTGACGCACAGTTGAAATAGTCGCAATTAAGAATTACGTCGTTAAATATATCACACGATTAAGCTAATCATGTTACATATTCATTTGAAAGATTAATGGGTTTTACGTAGAAGTTTACAAACGTAGATATAATGTACAACGTACTGCAGGTTTACAGAATATCGTGTTAGCCCGATATGTATTACATGTATAGTATATATGCAGTAAACTGAACTAACAANGGGGGGTACTTCAATTATGTCAACAATCTCTTATACGAAAAAATAAATATTAATCCCAAATACAGGATTTACTAGTATTTATACAATAGTGTACTGAACTTACAACTTTGTGTTTTGAATCTTGGGACGAAGCATTGATCTACACGTTTTGCAGATTTATTCTGATAGTCTAATTCCATTTTAATATCCCGTGGTGCCCACACCCTCTGCATAGGACAACTATATTTTAGAGATAAAGCATTTATATTTAAATTTAGAAGTGTCCTTATTGGATATCGAGACCAAGCGTACAGAGTACTGTAATGTATAATATGTATTATGATTCTAAAGAAGGGCAGAGTAAAGGGTATGAACCAGGAACAATATTATAGGTCACTATTCCATCCGTAACAGATAGATAAAGAGATAGATAGACATTACGCAAGTGAAGATAATATGCAAAAATGTGGTACACCAGTACGTTAGTAAAATATAAAATAGGCAATGTGCACTCAGTGCAGTAGGCATGCATTAAAATTAAAGATAAAACCCAATTTTATGTTCAGTACAAGCAAGAATATTCCAGAATAAAAATTCATATGAAATTGTTTATTTATCATGTCATCCAAATGATCCATTTTTTACAATATGTATTAATAATCTCAAATCTACAGTTATTTTCCTAGTCTGGGCATGAAAAAAACACGTCGAAAACTCGATCAAAGTTTTTGTGGGGATTTTTCTCATATTTTTTGCCAATGAAAATAAGAAAATTTGCGATGTTTAGAATATTTTAGTTTATAAAATGCTCTTTACACATCTGAGTCTGAGTGAAAGAGTCCTTATCTAAAAAGTATTTGTAAACAAGGCCTAAAAAGAAGCCCGGGAAGAACATTATTTTGAGGGAAAATTATCCGGAAGAAAACTATTTCTTGCTTCATATGGATAAGCACTAAAGAGGAAAGAATATCAGGAAAATAAAGAAACGACACCCTGGAAGCCTAATCAGAAGCATAAAATAACAATATAAAAATACTTTTTGATTTAGTTGTTGATAAATGCAGAAAACTGATCAGCATTGTGGAACTCTAAATTGTTTTGTTTTTTTCTAACCAGCTTTGCCTAGAATTTAAAATCAAGCAAAGAACACTCTCCTGGTTCTTACGAGTTCCTCAGTCAAAATTTGATGCAAGTTGGTCCAGGGGTTCCTGAATAATGATCGAACATACAAACCAACACCAAAACAGAGATTACTACTTTTCATATATTGAAGATTTTATAACAATTCATTTATTGTATTTGAGCCGGCTAGTTACAGAGTTGCCATGACAAATAGAATGTATTTAACATGTTCCAACCACATGATATTCAAGAGGAATTTTTTCAATTTCTCGAACGACAAAATATACGGATAACTGTTTAGCCTCTGTATGTTTATATAAATGTTCTATGAAGAGTATGGGGGGAATGAATAAAAACATACCATACTGAGTACTGACTTAGTAATTTCATATTTTATATTTTAAATCTTGATATTTATCTTTTTTCATTATTGTCAAAACTATTCACAAAGTTGTGCTGAGTTTAAACCTGTTAGAAGGAGAAAGAGAACATTTACTTTAGATCAGAAATTAATGCCAAGAATTATGTCAAAAAATATATCTTACTTAAACTAAATAAAACTGAGTCACTTAAACAGAATTCCAAGCTTAGAAAATTTATGTTTTTTTACTTTTTTTTAAAACCAGAGTTGGGAACTTTTAAATAGTTCAACTTAATATTTTGGCATTTCGGAATTAATTGATGAAAGATTTACGGTTTAACAGATTTTTTCCAATTATAAGTTCCTCACTGAGAAATGTTTAGGTTACAAAATCCAATCAAAAAGATTAATAAAATTATTAATTTATATATTTACAAATTTATCTTTGTACAACATTTGTATTTAATAATATTTTACAATATTCAGGGTTTCTTCCAGAATGAATCTCCTTGTAGGTGGGGGAGGTAGGATAGAATGAATTATGAAAAATGGATGATGATTGATAAAGAATCTATTTATCGAATGTTTGGAAGAGCGTATCCCAGTCCACCATATAATCCTCAGGGTTAGCTCCGGCAGGAAGATCCATGGTATCGTAGACGTGTGAATCGTACTGAACAATATGATGGTCGTCGCTGGACATCATGTACAGGTGGTCTCCGTCTTGTACAGGGTCCTCATAGTGTCCGTAGTCGTCTACAAAAAAAATATTTGTTAATGTTTGCAACAATTGTTACAATATTTTCTTTTTGAAAACACAATGAAACACCTGAAATTTTTCCTTTCTTCGGTCAAAAAAAAGGAATTTCTAAAATAAATAAAAAATGATTTCTCACCGATATCAATTTCATTCTTCTCCACAGGTTCACAGATGACCCTAGGGCAGCAAGCTGGGTAGGTCAGACTCATATTCTGTACTGTGTAACAAGGAGGGAAAGCCTAAACAGAAAAAATTAATTTGGAAATATTTAAAAATGATAATTAATCCTGAAAAAGGGTATATTCACTAGTATCATAAAATTTGTTCAGGAAAAAATCTCAAGAACTAAAGAGGATTTCAAAACAATATTTGGGTTAACATCTCTAGTCTACTTTTCAATGAATTTATTGAAAACTACAAACATAGTTTGAAAAGTACCTGAGAATATCCGCAGGATTCGTAAGATATATAGAGAGTGTCTCCTCTAAGAATACAGGTCTGCTGACCGCAAGTATCAGGTATAGGCCAGCTACTGCCCAGTGCATGGGGGTTTCCGGTCACATCATCAATACAAGAACCAGGGTAACCTTCATAAACACAAGTTAGATAGAACGAAAAATTTCAAACTTTAAAGTTTATAATTCTGATATTTTAAGCAACAACATAAACAATAAAGTAATTATAAAGAATACTCACTTGGATGAACGCTGGATAGTCCAATGGCAACTGCGGATTCTGTTGTTTTGATGCAACCAATCAGGAACAAGATCAGGAAATACATGATTGGGTTGGATTGAATTGTGTCTTTGATGATTCTAGTCGATTTCCTTGTATTGTAATAAAGACAACTGCAACAAATATTGCGTATCTAAGATGGATATATGTAAGGTTGGGTCTAGTGTACTCCAGGTCCTGTTATCAACTGACGGAATAGAGTTCTCTCCAGCTGTAATATAGGCTTCGAAGGGACCAGGGGAAACCCAAATATCAGGATGCCGCGGAGCTGCTGTCGGAAGGAGGGGGCTAGAGGGAGAGACAGAGTTGGGGCTTTCTAGGAACTTCACGGGATGCCTTTTATTCAGAGATGAATTTAGAGAAAGAATGTTCTTTTTCGTCACTCCTACTATTTGAAACCAAAACCCTACTAATCCAAAAACCTAAAAATACTAAAGCCTTTACATAGGTATACGTATTTTTAGGTAAATTTAAGTAAACATTCTTATGCTCAACTGTTCGGCAAAGAACTTGCGTATATTTACGTACTTTTACGTAGGTTTTCCAGAAACGTATTTTTTACAAATAATTGCGTATACTTTTTGCCAAGTAATTTTTTAAGGTTTTTATTTCACGAATTTTTACGCATTCTTTTGTTTTTTATTTACTTAAAATTTTAATTTTTTAGAGTTTATAAGTTTGATGCAAACCTAAAAATACGTAAATTTTTGTAAATTTCATACCAAGTAATTTTTAAGTTTTTATTATACAGATTTTTTACGTATTTTTCGGTTTTACTTTACTTAAAAAATTATTTATTATAGAGTTTAAAAGTTTGCTGCAAATCTAACAATACGTATTTTATGTAAATTTCCTATAAAATAATTTTCTAAGTTTCTAGGTTTTTATTTTCACGAATTTTTTCGGTTTTTTCTTTGCATTTTCTTAAGTTTCACGAAACCTCAACTGCACAAAAAATTATTTTAAAGTTAAAATTTAAAAATATTTTATGATCTTTATAAGAGAATTGTTATGTATGTAAGAAATTTAATGCAAACATTTTGGTAATTACAATGTTTAAAAATTTCCATCATTTTGGAGTAAATTGATGTTTTCATTAGAATCAGTGTCATTAAATTTTTGATTTTTTTATATAAAGAAGTTCTTAACATTCTTGTAACAGGTATAATGCATGGTAAGTGCATGAAGTATAACAGATTTATAATACGTAATTGTTGGAAATATAATCAAAATGAATATATAACTGTTCTTGTAACAGGTATAATGCATGGTAAGTGTATGAAGTATAACAGATTTATAATACGTAATTGTTGGAAATATAATCAAAATGAATATATAACTGTTGATTTAGATGGATACAGATGAAGGAATGATGATGGTGTGAATTTGTGTAGACAGAATATTGGATTGGATTGTAAATAATTGATATCTATGAATGGATTCAAGAAATTTGTGGAATTTGTTGTATAGATATGAAGGAACAATGTGCATGCAAAATTATAGTAAAATTCTTAACATTTTGGTTTAAGAAATGAAATATGTCTTAAAAATACATATTTTTACGTATAGGAAATACCTAACAATTGGAATTTTTAGTTTTTTTCATGCGCATTTTTACGTTTGTCATAAAGGTATTTTTACCAAGGAAATGGTTACGAAAATACGTATTTCATACGCATCGCGTTACGTATTCCAAACCTAAAAATACGTATACATACGAATGTCATACGTATTTATAGGTTTTTCGGTTAGTAGGGAAGTTAATTTTACTCATTTTTACTTTCACATTGACAGGATTCCTTTTCAAAATAAACACGGAAACTAAATAGAGGATAATATCATGATATCATAATTAACGTATTTTTTGTTCTTAGTTCATATGCAAATGTACGCACAGATTTTAGAAATTCCAATGCGCACGAGAGGGTGCAGTTTTAACTAGTTCAATATTAAGTGGGTTCAGTTTGAACTAGTTTAGAATATTACAGTTAAATAGATAAATAAAAGGCTACATTTATAATATTTATTTATAGATAGATATAAATATTCTGAACCATTCATAAAAGTATCTCTTTAATTCCTCATCAAGTCCATTCGCAGGATTATAAGGGGGGAGTAAATTTCACCTCCCCCCCCCCCGTACTGGAGTTTGAGGAGGTTACCCCAAAATTAAATCAATTTACAGAGAAAGATTGAAAATCAACCTATTACTTCATTTTAGAGAGCTCTCAGGAGAAAAAAAGGATGAAACATAAACAATAAAACAGATTAAAATAATATTCAATAATTATTTAAAGATGATATTGTGTAATATTTTTACAATTTTATAATATAACTAATTATCAAGAAATAAATGAAAATAAAATAACAAACACCAGAAATGAAAGGAAGAACATTTTTGTTTTTGTCTAAAAACAAAAGTAATACGCAGCTCTTGTTAAATAAATAAAACTTGTAAACTTTAAAACAAAGAATAAATAATTGTTAATACGTGTTGAAAAAACAATATTTTTTTTAATGAAAAAGTTTTTTTATGCCCTGTTCAAGTCGGTATGATGCAAGACTATGACACATTGATGATGACAAGGGAAAAAATATAATTTCTCATAAACTTCATTTTATGTTGAGTTAGATCATAGATTTTACGATAAATACAATTCATAGTAATTTTTTATAAAAAAAGTTAGTTTTCAAAACAATGAGTCAGCTATTTCTTATTATCTATCAGTAAGGACACACGAATGATGCGGGAATTTTTAATGGATTTAAATCGATTCAAAACCCATTCTCTTCTCGTGGGTGATTAAAGGGAGTGATCTGAGAATGTAGTATTGTTAAGAAAATTTTTCTTTAAAACTTTTGAGATGTTTTTACGCTGCATATTTTTTCAGCGAGTGCGCAAATTCAATTTTTTAACCCCTCATAGAGTGTTTATTTTGAAGAGATGGTTTTGAGAATTGGTTTTGTTAAAAATTATTCAATAACGACGACGAAAATTGTAACAAAAAGTCTAATTTGATGTTTAAGAACATATTTCTCAATAAAAATTTGACAGGAATTCAATTTTTTCTTTTACATCATTATATTGAATTTCTTATTCTTTACGAATTTGTTCGCAGATTTCTACAAATTCTTCAAATGTCGTCTTTTCAATAAAAATTCCTGAAAATCTACAGAAAATATTCATGTACAATGATAGATTACAGAAACTAATAACTGAATAGCTTACTTATTTTCGATAATAAGAGTTAATTTTTATTTTCTCAACCTTTTCCTAAACAACTTATTAGTTTACTGTAGAATTTTGTTACATTTTTTGTCGTCGTTATTGAATAATTTTTAAAAAACCGATTATTAAAACGTAACCACCCAAACGGATGATTTTGAACGTCGAATTTGCGATCAAAATAAGTAATTATACATCATTAAATCGTTTTATGTGTCTCAAATTAATCCTAAAAATTTCTCCACAGTACTACAGTCTCAGTTCAACTACCATGCCGGTCGCTCCCATCAACCAAGCTCTGATTGGTTAAAATTTCAGGAAACTTGAGCAATAACAGACTTAAAAGTCTCTAGATTATGGTTTTAAATCAGGCACGCAACTAGGGGGGGGGGGGCCGGCCCAACTAGACTGATTATGGGGGGACAAGAATTCCTTAACATGTGTCCACATAGTTCCAAATAAAACTAATTTTTTCTAGAATTTTAAGAAAAAAATAGGCCCCCACGATATTTTTTCTCCACTCATTTATGTCCCCAACTCTTAAAGCAAACTCAAATTCCCCCCCCCCCCCCTTTAACATTTTTCAATATAAGTGATTTATTTCTTTAGAAAATACCCCCAAATTGGATTTTTTGAGTTATACTCACACATTCTTTTTCAAATTGCCCCACCAGTCTTAAATTTGCCCCCGTTTTTAGAATGCCAACAAATATTTATAATTTGCATCTAAAAATTTATTTCTATCCCCATTTGTTTTATAAATACACCCAATTTTAAGGTAATTATTCCAGAATTAAGAAGTTTTGCGCCCAACAAAAAAATAACTCTTTGATTAAAAAGCTCCTTCATGCACTTTGAAAATTCCCCCCCATATTCATTCTTTTCCTTTACCCACCCCTTTTCTCTTATTTCTTAGACATGCGCGCAACTAGGGGCGGCATAAGCTCAGATTCTTTCTATTTGTCCCCTTTCTTTAAAAAATGCCTTCAAATTTGGATTTTTAAATTACACTTTCACTTTCTTATTCAAATTGCCTCACCAGACGTAAATTTGCCCCTTCATTCAACATTTTTAACCCTTGTCTTTTTTTAGAATGCAACCAAATATTTTTAATTTGCACCTAAATTAAATTTTCTTATCCCCAAATACAACCAACTTTAAAATTTACAGCCCTATCTCAGAAAATGTCCCTTATTCTATTTAGATATTGCTCAAAAAATTAAGAAGTTTTACTCCCACAAAAAAATAACCCTTAGTTTATAAAAATGCCCCTTTTATATTTTTAAATAAAAAAGTTGACCCCAAAATGAAGATATAGGATTTCCTATACACAAATTTGACTAAACTAAAAAAGCCCCCCCAAAAATAAATTTTGCCCCAAAAACAAACAACTAGACAAATTGCCCTCCAAAAAAAATTTGCTCCTGAAATATAGTTTAAAATTTGCCCCAAACTGAAAAGAATGCCCCCCGAAATATAAAAATTTACCCCCAAAGTATCCTGAATTGGTAAGGTAGTTTTTTCATGGTTGAGTTTAATACACATTTTTCTGTCCCCCCTAGAAATGTTTAGGGGGGCCAAAAAAAATTTTCTCGCTACGCGCAAACTATTTGCCCTTAGCCCCCTTGCTAAATGTCTAGTTTTAAATCTCTAATAATTTCGACATCTTTAAAAAACTTGTAAGTAAGGAAGAATGCGAATAAACAGTAAAGAAAGCATTCTTTCAGATTTCTTGCCAAAATATTGCAAGTTACGAATTTGCGGTTTAATTTCGCGTAAAAATTTCTTCTCTGAATCTCTCGTCGAGATATTTTATAATACTTTCTGTTGGTGGGGGGTAAAGTTTATAAGTTGGAGGGTTGGCGAGGGATAAAGTTTATATGCTGGAGGGTTGGCGGGATAAAATGTTTATATGTTGGAGGGTTGGCAGGGGATAAAGTTCATATCCTGGAGGGTTGGCAGGGGATAAAGTTT